CTCTGTCAAATAAATAAAGTCTTTAAAAAAAGAAAAGAAAAGAAAAAGACAGAACACCTGACAGTGAAATGGGCAAGAGATGGGAACAGGCAACAGAGATGCTACATACAGGCCCAGGAACCCCGTGAGTCAGTGGGAGATACTGGCAAGCCCCACAAGGGCACACACTCTGGGCGTCATCCAGCAGTCTGAGGATACACACCCCTAAGACGCAGCAATTTTACCCACTGGGGAAGAGTCCTGCACGTGTGCACCAGAAGACATACAGAAATGCTCAAGGCAGCAGCATTCAAACAGAACCAGCCGATGTCTGGGATGCCAGAATGGATAAATCGTCTAAGTCACTACGGTCAGTGCCAGTCACCAGTGAAACTAAAGCACAGCTACACCAACACAAATAACTCACAGACCCATGCTGAGTGAAAGATGCAAGACACAGTATTACACCATTTACTTAAAATTCAAAATCAAGCAAAATTAACCATATTATTTAAGAAATGTACACATAATGCAAACTGTAGAGAAAAGCAAGAAGACTGTAATTCCGAGGTTGGAATAATGGTCACTCTGCAAGGGGATGGAGGAGCAAGTGTCACTCTGGGGTACGGGCCACTTGGCAACTTCCTGACCAGGAGCTGCTCACGTATAGATTTGCTTCCTAATCAATCCTCGAAGCACATGAATGTTTGTGCATTCTATAGGTACATTCTATTTTACAATAAAAAAGCACTTCAGTGCTTTGTTTTAGGGTACAAATGTACCCAATGTAAGAACTAAAAGTACTGTCAATGGGAAGATACTACCTTTAAACTGAGCAATACACTAAAAGGGCTGTGCTTGTTCTCATATTCCTGCAAAATGGCCTCATGAGCACTGTGCTCATCAAATCACCTGTGATAAATGGAGTTGAGGGGGCCTGTGGCTAAGGCAGGAAAGGAGGAGGAGAAGGAAAATGGGGGAGGAAGGGAGGAAAAGAAAGGACAAAGGAGATAGAGGAAGGGGAGGAGGAGGAAGGTGGGGGAGGGGCAGGAGGTGGAGGAAGGACACAGGAGGTGCGGAAGGGACAGGGACGGAGGGCAGGTCCTGCACCAAATGCAGCAGGCCCCGAGCTGAGCAGGCAGGAGGGGAGCACAGGTGTGAAAATGGAGTAGGAGGAACCCAGGGTGAAAGACTGCCAGAACAGGAGCGGAAAGGAAACCCTGAGCAAACTCGAGGCTTTTCTAATCCCTGAATCCCTCCCTGGCTGCAGCCAGGGGCACACTTGCTGCAGCGTGCAGGGTCGACCAGGCTGGGAACCTTGAAAGGGACACAGGAGCACTGGGGAGCTGCAGCAGAACAGCGGGGCAGATGAGGCTGAGGGGGCACAAGAGGTCACACCCCAGGTCAGCAAGACAGCAGGGCAGGGGACAAAGGGGCAAACTCCCTTAAAGGGACGGTCTGCTGATCAAATTCTGAAAAACGGCTCCTGTGTCTGGTGGCCTCACGCAGAATTTTACAAATTCCAGTCTTTTTTTTTAATTTTTTTTTTTAAGATTTTATTTATTTATTTGACAGAGAGAGACACAGCGAGAGAGGGAACACAAGCAGGGGGAGTGGGAGAG